TGAAAACAACAGTGAAGCACAGGCCTGAACTTAGAAGATTATTCACTGCATCCATTGGTAATGTTGGATATCTTACTGTAGCTTTGTATATCTGGCTTCCACTGGGCATAATGTTATGCATTTCCTTGTTGCCTATTACTGTTTTATTTAAAACATTGTTCTTCAAATTTCAAATGCATATTCTCTTTCCTAGAAAACAGACTATCTTCAGTGTTGAAAAGTCATAGCAGCAAGTGGGTCTTAGTTGTTTCTCTAGTCAAGAGGCTAACCTGTGATACTGAGCATCATTTTGGGATTGTGATTAAATCTACAACGTGTCAGTCCACTTATGAATGACCACTCGGTCACTTGGGCTGCAAGATTTGTTACTTCATATGAGTGCCAGTGGCATTGCTTCCTTCTGCTCTTGGTTAAGTAAACAAATAAGTCTTAATCCTGGGATCCCAAGGGCTGGACTGCTTTTCTGGATTCTGCTTGTTGGAAAGCAAGGTTAAAAAGTAATTCAGTAACTTTAGCTATGTCTCAGTTGTGACAAAGATACCATTTCAGATTTGAACATTCACTCTTTTTGTTGCTTAAAAGATTTTCTACACTGGATTTCAAACTTAGTGATGCTTTTTTTTTTTTTTTTCCCAAAATGGGGTATGTAAAACATGTCAGGTTGAAAACTCAATCACTCAGCCTCCTGAGAACTTCATTTTCCTTATACTCATGGAACCCAGCAGTGAAACAAGAAAGCTGAGGTATGCAAAAACCTCAACATCTTTTCTTTCAAAGTACAGTAGGATGCTGATGCTCTTGGGGCTTCCTTGATTGTGGCCGTATTTCTAATGGAGAACTGCAGCTACTTTACAAACCTTATACATCTTGAAAAGTCATAATCCATACCAAACTTGAAGATTAGTTCAGTGTCTTAAAAATTCCTCATCACAGCATTTTCCACTAAATATATATTCATAATTTGAGGGCTTTTTTAAGCACCAGAATAGGAATGTAGAAGTTATGTTAGAACTTAGTTAGTTAAGAAGTTTGGGTAGTTTGAAATGGTACTTTCTATTATTCAACAATATGACAAACATTAAAATAAAAAAATAATTTTCCATTTATGATGTTTTATCTATTCTAGTAAAGTCCAGCTACTACAGTAACAGCATCTGCAATATTTAAAAAAATGGGCCAGCAGACAATACTGAGATATAGTCAGTTACAAGAATATTTTTGTTACTTTCAAGACAGAGTACATTTCAATATTTGTCTTTTCTTGTGCGTGTTGATAGGGCTAGTAAGCTTCTGCTCAGGTGAGGGATAATAGTCACTGCCACTGTCACTTTCATCTCTCTCTAAATCTCAAAATCCATCACTAGGACAAGCAAATCCTCCTCTAATATCCATGTCCTTCCTTGGAAATAATTCAGAGAACTGCACATGGGTCTGGCTGGTTTAGAAACAGATCAATAAGGAATTTATGCGTGAAATGTTGATTATATTTAGCTTTTCATGGTGGCTTTGCTTATGGAGTAAGGAAACATCACTGATTTAAAGGACTGAAAGAAGCAGCAGATTACATTTTCAAGGTAAGCATGCACACTGGTGAAACTTCTTGTTGCAGAGCTGCTGAGGACTCTTTGCATCTTAGAAAAAAGAGATTTTGCTGTAACACACTGCAGATTTTAATGTTCATGAAAAATTTTTGCTTCTTTTTGTAAAGAAAAAAATAGATCTTTGTACGATGTCAAATTCTTTCCAGAATAATCTTACTTGAAGCATTTTCTCTCTGAAAATAATGACTAAAGAAATGAATATGGTGGGCCAGTAAGAAAGTGAGAAACAGGTAAAATAAAAGAGCAGAAGAGACAGAAGCTGATCTTCTATTCACTACAGTCCTGTAAAAAGATATTACTGCCTTCATTTTCTTGCAGCCCTAAAGATTTTGCTGTACAGTAATTAATATAACTAGGTTTTAGGTCACAGTGCTTGAAAACTCCATTGTTTTAATAGTAGTCACATTTGAAAATCCAAGATAGTAAAAGTAAACTATTTGTGATGATAGAGTGAAAACAATATGGTAAAAAACTAAAAGACCTCTAAAGCAAGCATTTCTCTCTGTTACCTTTCAGACTTACTATCTAAATGTGATAATGTGGAATTGAGCAATTGGACTACTAAAATAAAATCTGTGCAACAGTTTGTGACAATGTATCAGTTTTAGAAAAAAAAGCATGTTATGACAGAACAGGAAACATGGTAGTGATACAATTTAGTAAAAACCCTCTGAAAAACTTTGCTTGAAAACCTCCATAATATAGTAAAAAGTGCATCAATGTGAGTTTTGCACCCACTGAATTTAACAAGAAATTGTCTGCTGTTCATAGTGTTGGGGTTTTGTTACACAAATGCTGTATTGAGGTAACCAGTCCAGTTCCTAAAACCAGGATCAATTACTGTGTCTGTTCAACTTGCACTGGGTATGCGCTGCATTTCTGTGTCTTAGGCTCAAAAACTTCACAAGTCCCCATAATTTGCTTTGAGACTAATGGAATTATGGTATTCTTTTGCTGTATATTATGACAGAATGACAAAGGAAACAACCTGGTGTAGCAGTCACCTGAACCAAAGATTCACAAAGTCACAGAATCACAGAATGGTAGGGATTAGAAGGGACCTCTGCAGATCATCTAGTCCAACACCCCTACTGCTAAAGCAGGTTCACCTAGGGCAGGCTGCACAGGAATGCATCCAGGCAAGTTTTGAAAGTCTCCAGAGAAAGAGACTCCACAACCTCTCTGGGCAGCCTGTTCCAGTGCTCTGTCACCCTCACAGTAAAGAATTTTCTCCTTATGTTTAAGTTGAACTGCCTGTGTTCCCGTTTGTATCTGTTGCCCCTTTTTCTATCACTGGGCACCACTGAAAAGAGGCCGCTCGATCCTGATTTAGTGTTTTAAGACCGCCTCTTTCCCAGCAAGTCCTACACACAGCTGCCCCAGCTCCTTCAGCAGAACACAAAGGACCCCACAGTAGATACTGATGGAACCAGAGGAATCATCTTCAAAAATGCACAGAAAATCCTCTTTACCTGAAGAACAAGGGAATAAATGGGGTACAGATTTTTGCCCAAACTCCAGGCTAAGTACCCTGGATGGGTGCAGATTTTTCCACATGTCCTATTTTACCACACTTCTCATCTTCTTTAACCTCTAGTACATACGCAAATATGCAAATCAGTATTTTCTGGATAGTACAAAGTCAAAGATGTTTGTGGTTCTTTTTCTTTTGAAACTGAAAAGGACTCAAAGAGCAAAGATAAACATGAAAAATTAGTTCCTGTGTAGAAATGCAGGTACTGTGAGTCTTAATGTGACCTTACTGATTTAAAGCCCACTCTGTTGGAGGAATGACTTCCCTTGAGATGAATACATTTGCATTTGTCTGGTACCGAGTGATTCAAAGTGGTTGGACACAGCTTTATATCACACCATTATTTGTGAGCTGTTGTGGACTCCACTGTGGCTCTGCGGAGAATATAGGTTAAATCAGGATGGAATTTTGTCTGCCAGCATTAGCAAAGCTTTCAGAGCACTTGTAAGCAGACATAAAGCTGCTTAATTCAGCCTGGTGTACTTTCAGTCTCCACACTTTCAAACACAATTTATCCTTTCAGTAAATCAGTGGAAAACGTGTTTCTTTTTTTAGGCTCCTGGTGAATCTAACATAATGTTTACTATGTCTTAGAAACCTAGAATCTTCATATATGACTTCTTAGACCAAACCCTTACTCTTAAGCATTTAAAAACTGACCAGCAATGCTGGACTACATTTAGGACTCTTAATGAAAGAACACACCTTTATCTTCAATCTATATCTTATTGTCTGGCAGAATGTAGTAGCTGTATCATCCTGTTTCTCTTTTGCAATGTGCTTGACTGGAGAATGGAAGTACTTTCTTTAAGATCGAGTCATTCTATAGCATTTGACTTAATTTATCAGTGGTACAGCTGCTCATTTGTCAGTTTGTAGTTTACAGACTTCTCTATACTCTGATTTCACACGCACATGGCTATTGTTACTGTGGAGGGTAGCATCTGTCTTATGATGTATCTAAATGGCCCTGCCAAGAGCAGACCACACTTATTGACAGAATTCATGCCCAAAGAGCTGGCAAGCTCATTGATGCCAAGATATAACTGACAAAATGATAAGAACAGTGGTGAAAAGGGAGAGCAGAAATTAATTACTCTAGTAATCTCTCTAGTGCTGGAGAGATTGTGCACTGAAAAGCACTATATTAGTTTTACAATCTACAACATTTTCAATTTTTTAATATCAAGATGAACAAACCAGACATGAGCAACGAACTGCCACTGTTTAGGTGTTTATATGCTACCTGCTCTATGAGTAAGGAGACTCTATTGCATCAGTGTCAACTTCCTAGATAGAGAACTTACTTTTTGCTGTCAACAGGGTGTAACACTCGGGTATAAGATATACAGAGATGTCTTTGGAAATCTAGTCTGTTCTTATTATATTCTTATTATATATTCTTTGGAAACCTCATCTGTTTTTCAGGATGTCATCTGTGCATTATTCTGTTTTTCCATCTTGATACAATAAGTTTTGAGCCTTTGGTTCAACACAAAATGAAACAGCAATAGGTGTTTCAAACACAACGATCTTAATATTTTCCAAGTATGTGATTAAGGTCAGGAGAAAGACCTAAATTAATGCTTCCTCTAAAAGAAAGATGTGCTGATCATTCTCTTTAGCAACAGTTGCCTGACCATTCAACAAACTGAAGCATCCACAGTGCCCTTTCTTTTCTGGTGGGAATGTCATGGGAGAGAGGAAACTGAAAATTTTGTTGATTTGGGGAGAAGTAAGGACAGAAAGGATTCATTTTTAGGAAAAAAAAAGATTGCTTGTTACTTCTGTTAGTTCTGAAATGACTTAATTATTTATTTTTAAATCAGCCTTCCTCAATTACCTGAGGTAAGATAAACTTGATCATGAAGGTAGGAGTGATTGAGACCCATCACTCCCATACAGTTGTTCCCAGAGTGGTAGTGCAAGACACCAGTGAGGATGCTGGACTGATGGACAAAAGGGAAAACAGGTATGCCAGATTTACCATTTTATGTCTGTTTGGGTATTTTTCTTTGATAATTTGCATGGGATTAACTAAGCGCAGACACTTGCCATCTTCTGATTTTCTTCACTCTCTATTAGTAAATTTTTAAGATTGTGTTATATTGCTTATTGTAAATATTTGGGAGATTAAAATCCGTGCTATTTCAATTTCCTTAGATAACTCATGAGTAAAATGGTGAGAAATGGACCAGAGCAACTGAGATTAATTTTTTTTTTATTTTTTTTTTTTTTGTATTCCAGCAGATATCATATAACCATGTTGTTTTGCTGTTCCCTAGGCACTGGTATCTACCTGGTGCACTTGCACGCTACAATATTAACAACAATAGTAATAAGGATGAGTAAGTATCTTTGCTGTTTCATAAAAGGAGAGTACTGCAACACTTGTTGTTTAAGCAGCAATAAAGAAGAATGATATCTGTCTAATAATGGCTTTAACAGTTATGTCATTGAACTAAGCCCAAACGAGACTGCACATACATTTTAACTTCATGCACATCAAATTTGATGGTCATTCTTAATACTACAGTTCTTGGCATTATATCTATTAATTTAAAATAAAAGAAGTTCTATGTGAATACAATAAGCAAAACAGTTTTTGAAAGCCAAATTCCTAAGTATAATGTTATCTTTACCACATTCAGATGATTCTAATAAATAAATGTGGAAGCAACAGCTATGTGCATTCTATAAGCCTATAATTTTTTTTCCTTAGAGAGAAGAAAAAGAAAAAAGAGAAGAAGAGGTAAGACAAAGTGTAATAATACTACTATATCTAAGGCATTTAATTTCTTTCCAAATATGTTTAACCTATTCTGTAACAACTGAAAATGTAAATCTGTTTCTTAGCAAGTCAGAAAAAAAAAAGGATGGAGAAACACAAAAGACCAAGGAAAAAAAGGAGAAAAAAAACCCTAAAGATAAGTCAAAGAAGAAAGAAAACAAAGAAGAGTAAGTATTTTTCATTTAAGTCCTGCTATGTTAGTCTAATAGAATTGCTTTTGGTGTAAAACCAAATCCATTCATGGGCATTCCGTAAACAAAACATTTATACTGTCCTGAATAAGTGTACAGACTGCTGTTGTTCTCCCTAGAGTAGAATTGCTTTGATTTAACTTCATATGTGGATGGCAGAAATATGCATGCATGGAACTGAACTGAAAAAGTCAATAAAGAAAAATCTCCTGTGGATTCGGATTATCCAATATTTCTTGTATAACACCAACACCGTGCAGCAAAAGATGTGCCAGCATAAAGTAATCTCTTCTGCACATAAGGGCACCTACAAGCAAGTAAATTCTTTTATGATCTAAAAGTTCATGCGTTACATCTTGCTTGGTAAATTCATAATTTTCTGGTCAAGGAAGAGAACTTATAATAGTGCAGTAGGAACCTGTAGGTTTTCATGTTCTTTGATTTCTTTATGTAAACTATACCAATGTTTCATCTTTCCCAGAGCTAGACTTTTCCCAGTGAGAAAGACATTATTTATCTCACTTATTTAAACATTAGTAGTGACATACTCATTTTATTTTTTAAAATACGATAAAATGAATTATCAAGCATGACAGTTAATTGAGTAGGAAACAATAATTTTAAAAGGCTGAAACTACCTGTATCACTATAAACTGAAGTGGAACTGCCAAGCTGATTTTGCTCAGCAAAATTTGGATTCTAAAGTTTGTGTCCCAAGTCACACCTAACAAAAAGCTTCATGTTTTCCATGCATTCAAGCAAGGAAACTTGACTTTAATAAAGACCATTTATTTTACAATAAGAATTTCTGGAATGCTTCATTTCTCAAATATTGTTATGTGATATTCTAAGTCTCTCATTACATCTCCTTTTTTTTTTTCCCCACTTATCATTTAGGAAGAAGAAAGATATTTTAATTATTGATCCAGCAGGAAATATGTATTACAACTGGTTGTTTTGCATCACAATGCCTGTCATGTACAACTGGACTATGATTATTGCTAGGTGATGTACTCATTTGATGACTACATAAAACCTCTAGCAAATCATAATATATAATTTTAAAATATTTTATTAATCACTGATTTCATACAAGTACTTAATTTTCATTTCATGGTATTGTACTTTTGTCTTTTCCTATTCAGAGCGTGTTTTGATGAGCTTCAGCGTGACTACTTAGCAGCATGGTTTATTATTGATTACATTTCTGATGCCATCTATGTTGCTGACATGTTTGTACGGACAAGAACAGGTAAATACACTCAATGATTAATTACTCCTCTGCGTATATTTGTGTCAAGTGGTTAAAAATATTCAGAATACTATTACTCTTATTATCTGTGTATCCATGATGAGATGCAATGGTGAAAAAGATATTGAGAGAGATCTCTGAAAGACTGTGGTCTGTAACTTCTAAAAATAGGAGAAACTGGTGTATTACTCAAATAATACATAAAGCCTGAGGTAAGCTAGCCATGAGATAAGCTAGATACAAGCTGTTCTGCCTGCAGCTGACTCAAACAGACAAAATAAACATGCAGTGTGGCCAGGTGAGGATTGGGGGGGTTCTGAAAAATTAACACCTAAATCTAGATTTTGTATTTAAGGAGATTCAAGTATTTGCTGGATTTTCAAGAGCACTGAGCAAGCAAGACATCCAATTAGCTTCAGCTGCAACTGTTTCTTTTCAAATCTTACCCTACATCCGGAGCTATTGAACAGATATGTTCAATATGGAACTGAAATTCCCATTTTCAAATTCCTTCTCTCATTAACCACCCTTCTTATAGTTTCTGGAGGTTTTTTGGGGCTGGGTTTTTTCAGATCTTCACCATACTGGAAAAGTGGAGAGAAAGAATCAGAACTAGAAATGTTTAATTTTCAAAGTTGTATGGTTTAGCTCAAGCTGAATCATATAGCATTAAGCTGAATATTTGGAAATAAGAAATTGCTTATTAAAAAGCAAGAGAAGTTTTGCACCATCTGGAATTTGCACCCAAAATAATTTTAAAAATAGATTTGTATTGACATTAAATGCAACACAGTTGAACTCACAACATTATTTATTATCTACAATTTGATTTCAGGCTACCTGGAGCAAGGTCTTCTGGTGAAAGAAGAACAAAAGCTTCAGGAGAAATATAAGACATCTTTTCAATTCAAATTAGATTTTCTGTCAATCATACCAACTGATCTCTTATACTTTAAGTTAGGACTGAATTACCCAGAGTTAAGAATAAACAGACTACTTAGAGTAGCTCGGATGTTTGAATTCTTTCAGCGAACAGAAACAAGGACAAACTACCCAAATATCTTCAGGATCTCTAACCTTGTCATGTACATTGTGATTATTATTCATTGGAACGCCTGTGTGTACTACTCGATCTCAAAAGCCATCGGGTTTGGGGCTGACACATGGGTCTACCCCAACACCTCCGATCCTGAATTTGCCCGTCTGACTAGAAAGTATGTTTACAGTCTTTACTGGTCGACACTGACCCTGACTACTATCGGTGAAACACCCCCTCCTGTAAGAGATTCCGAGTATTTCTTCGTGGTCATTGACTTCTTGGTTGGAGTATTGATCTTTGCTACCATTGTTGGTAACGTGGGCTCTATGATCTCCAACATGAACGCTGCCAGGGCAGAGTTTCAAGCAAGGATTGATGCTATCAAGCAGTATATGCACTTTCGGAATGTGAGTAAAGACATGGAAAAAAGAGTTATAAAGTGGTTTGACTACCTGTGGACAAACAAAAAGGCTGTGGATGAAAGGGAAGTCTTGAAGTATCTGCCAGATAAATTAAGAGCAGAGATTGCAATCAATGTTCACTTGGAAACGCTAAAAAAAGTTCGGATTTTTGCAGACTGTGAAGCTGGTCTGTTGGTTGAACTGGTTTTGAAACTCCAGCCCCAAGTGTACAGTCCTGGAGATTATATCTGCAGAAAAGGAGATATTGGGCGAGAGATGTACATAATCAAAGAAGGCAAGCTGGCAGTAGTTGCCGATGATGGAGTTACCCAATTTGTAGTCCTAAGTGATGGCAGCTATTTTGGAGAAATCAGCATTCTTAATATCAAAGGTAGCAAAGCTGGCAATCGAAGAACAGCCAATATTAGAAGTATTGGATACTCAGACTTGTTTTGTCTGTCTAAAGATGATCTCATGGAGGCTTTAACTGAGTATCCAGATGCAAAGGCCATGCTGGAAGAAAAAGGCAAGCAAATCCTAATGAAAGATGGGTTGCTGGACATCGAAGTTGCAAATTTAGGAAGTGATCCTAAAGACCTGGAAGAGAAGGTCAGCTACATGGAAAGAGCGATGGACAGATTACAAACAAAGTTTGCCAGGTTGTTGGCCGAGTATGAAGCTGCACAACAAAAACTGAAAAAGAGACTTACACAAATTGAGAAAATATTGAAGCCAGTTATAGAGCAAGAATTTACAGACTTAGAAGAAGCAGATCCATCCACAGATAAACCTGGAGTGTCAAAAGCAGAATAAACTACCAGAGGCTGACAATAAGACTTTGGGTCAAATCTTGCATGGGACTGAATACATTCATTTCTCATCTTTGTAGGATCTGACTATTAATTATGAAAAATTATCACTAATTTTCTACAAGCAGCACATATTTGGCAGGTTTTGGGAGGAAAAGGAAGAATCAAGGATGAGGATGGAAGATACCTTGCTCTGGCACGAACAGGTGGTATTATCAGTTAATGCATTACATACTCTTGACGTAACTCACTACAGCAAATGCTTTCAGTCTATATATAGTCATGTACTGGCAACTATTGAAAGTTTTGCTGACTATTTTAAGATTATTTATTTGTGTTTATTTATGGAAAGAAGGAAAGGTTTGGTAACAGTTACATTATTTGAAGTCAATACAGGCATGAACCATGATATTAAATTTATGTGTAAACAAGGACATTTTAATATCTATTGATTAATATAATGTTAATTAGGCAAGAAAAATTATATAAAGAATTAGGTATATCTACAGTGCAGACGCAAGTACTGAAGGCTGTACCATTTGGAAAATATTGTTTCATTTGGTCTACCTTGTCTGATTTCTTGAAATGTAAGCAGAACACTAGTGTATCCATAAAGCTAAAAGAGGTGTTTTTTTTTTTTTTTTTTTTTTCCGTATATTACAAAGGCTGGAATAGAGAGGGGAGAAAATATAACTTTTAGCAAGCATTGGTATGACAAATATGGATGGCTCAAAATCTAGCTGTTCTTTCCACAATAACAACAAATACGTAATATTGAAGTCTGTTCTGCTCCATGTGATTCGAGGCTGCTGAACACATAGTATCAAGTTTTTAAGGTCTGTGCTTAGAAAATAGTATATCCCTAATGTAACAGTTGTGGATGCTGGCAGAGTGAAAGGGGCAGACATGACAGAAAGTGGCCAGACTCTTCCTATACTATCTTCTGTAGCTGATGTTGGGGTGTTGGGGAAAGAATACAACAACTAAATCGGTTATTTTTTAGATTGAGGTGCATAACTACTAAGGTGGTAAAATTTACTGTTTCTTATGTCAGATACATTTTCCACTGCTTTAAGAAGCATTGTCTCCTCGGATTTCTTCCCAAAATTATGCCTTTTCCGTTGGAAAAAAATGGTTTTATTAGTCGTGGTCTCAGCTGGCTATTTTCAGCTGGGCAGTTCAGTAGACTTTGATCATAGCCACTTAACACTGGAAAAGTTTGATGACAGGGACTGAAGAAAGGAACTGTGAGGAGAGAATGGATAATTCTATGTTTAGGGCAATGTGATTATCATGGGCAATTGGACAGCCATTCTTAAAAAAACCCAACCATCTATCAATATTACTATCACTTCATAATATCTCTATACCTTTGTTCTTCTCCTTAATAAGATAGGGCTATTACAAATTGGATCTTTCATAAAGTGCATTCATTTCTGGTTGTTTTCTTTTTTGTAATGTTGATAGGTTTCCAGAATGCCACAGATCTATAAATAACACTGATTAGAATGCAAGGATTAAATGTTATTAATTAATTGATGTATAGGATAAATATTGAACAGCAAGGATAAATGTAGATATGAAATGGTTGTGCATTCATTGTTGATCCTACGCTTTTAATGGCAAATGGCATAATGTGCTGGTGAGAGGAAAGAGCATGCTGTCGTTTCATTACAGGCTCTACGCATGCGCACAAGAACCAGAGTTATTCTGGCATTTAACAACATTGTCAATGTTGGACTTTGCAATCAGCGTTCCTCCAATTCGAGTCCTGAACATAATTTACAATCTGTATGGCAGCAGCAATCTGGGCTGCGTCATATTTTACTAGGCACTTAGGAAGCACTTTTCTCCTTCATTGAAGAGTTTAAGACTGTGTTAGAGAAATGTGTTATATAAGTTTTAATTAATAAATGCAGAGAACTACTGTACACATCTTCTCTTTTATTGATCCTTCAGTCTACAAGTTGTAGTCACTAGCTGCCTCTTTCTTGAAAATAAAACTTCTTTGATTTAAAACACTTCAAAATAAAATAGAAAAACAATTTACCTTTCATAGTTTAGTCACTATGTTCAGGCACCTTATGATTTGAGGGCTTGTATTATTTAACGTTTACTTCACTAAAGTGTCTAAACATGCTTTCTGGACAATTTTTAACTTGCATACTCTGAAGAAGAGCTGTGGAAAAAATGCACGCAAGAGGAATGCTGCTAGAGGCTAACTCTGGAGGAAGCTCAGAGAAGACCTTACTGCTCTCTACAACTACCTGAAAGGAGGTTGTGGTGAGGTGGGAGTCACGTCTCCTCCCAGGTAGCGAGTGTTAGGGCAAGAGGAAATGGCCTCAAGTTGCACCAGGGGAGGTTTAGGTCGGACATTAGGAAAAATGACTTTACCGAAAGGGTAGTTAAGTACTGGAACAGGCTGCCCAGGGCTGAGTCACCGTCAGTAGAGGTATTTAAAAGACGTTTAGATGACATGTGTTAGGGACATGGTTTAGTGGTGGACTTGGCAGTGCTGGGTTAACAGTTGGACTTGATGATCTTAAAGGTCTTTTCCGACCTACGTGATTCAGCGATACTGTGACAGACGGATAAAGCCATTGCTTCCCCGGCCAGACCGGCTGTCAAAAACAGCGTCAAGCATTAAATGAGAAAGCGAGCCCAGTGTGCCTACCGGCGAACAGCCCCCCCGCGCCAGGCGGCGAGGGAGCGGGATCCATCCCCACCCCACTCCACTGGGGGCTGCCCGCACCACCCGCCCG